GAGGCCCGCGAACGAGTCGCAGCGCGCCGGGCTCTCCTCCTGCACCGGGCGGCCCACCGGCTCCCCAGCGCCGCCGCCCGGCCCTGCCGGGCCCTCCTGGGAGTTCTGACTGACGTAGACCACGATGATGTCGCCCTTGAAATTCATCACCTGCCCGCTGGAAATAAACGTGGAGTTACTGTTTCCAGTCACATTGCCTACAAGGGGAGAGGAAGAGAGAACACGCAGAGGGTGAGTCAGCAAGTCTCGGTGAGAACTTGGTCTTGTGAGAGGAGTTTCCCATGAATCGGGGGCGATGGCGCACCAGTGCTCTCACGGGCTCTGGAGCGGCCCCTCCTCGCCCACACGGCTCCTGAAACGCAGCGGGCACCCCCACTGGTTCCTTCACGTGCCATCTCAGTGGGCCTGACTGCGGCTGAGGAAGGAAGGAGGGGGAGAGAGAGAAGACAAGCGCAGAGAAGCCCGAGAGAAGCGAAGGGAGGCGATCAAAGGGAAGCAGGAACTAATGGCCATGCTCAAGTTTTGCCGTTTGCCACACGGGACTCGGGGAACAGAACACAGCCGGATTGTGGAATCACAGAGAAGATTCACGTGTTACAAAAAGGTGTGTGCACACGGGTGATTGGTATGCAGCGAACAGCCTGTGTGGCCCAGCTATGGTCAAATGTGTCAGAAAGGGAAGAAGGCTGATGGACGGTTGCTGTCTGATGGGACCCCGGAGCCCACCTCAGCCCTGCCTCCTCTCTGACTAGACTCACACATCTGAGGCCTCTGTCACCCCAGGTGCCTTGACACCTCCCACCCTCCATGGAGGTCCCCAACAGCTCAGCCCTGGGGGGCCATGGGGCCACCCAGGCTCAAGATTTAGAAGTTAATCAATTTCCGTAACTTTTTTTTTTTTTTTTTAATCCTGGAACAGAAGAGATTCAGAAGACTAAAATGGAACAAAAAAAAAATCAAACCATAAATCACTCTTTTCTTCTGAACTCTGAGGCATGTTTTGTCCCTAGAGGGTTGTCATCTCTTCTTTATGGGTGACTGGATTGAGCCAGTCTTTAATTAAAGGGCCTTTTGAAAAAACAAATGGAAAGTTCAACAAGTTTTAGGAAACCTGCTACTTCTTATTATTCTCTTTTAAAGACTGATGCTCTAGAAATGTCCCTCTGGTGAAAGTAACTGCCACAAACCAAGCAGATGCAGAAATGCCCCAACACTCAGTATCACAAACAGAATCTTTTAGTCTGATCATGGGAGGTGAACATCAAAATGGCTCGTCATTATTCATCTTCCTCATCTTTGTTCTTCTGTATTGTGACCCAACCTAATAATAATTTATACAAGTAAAATTAAGTTCCTGTCACCACTCCACATGAAGAGATGTTCCCCAACTTTGGAAGGCATGTTTTGGATGGTCTGACTGAAATACCAAGAGCACACAGGAAATCCTTTTGGGGAGACTTGCCTCCACCCACAGGGTACCTGCAGAGAAGCCGAGACTGAGGCAGCGGCCCATGAACACAGGGATTTCAAATGTGAGCAATAAATCTAAAGTCACATGGGAAGATTTGCGACTCATGCTATTTCTCCCATATGCAGCTGTATGGAGTATATTCCAAGATGGGCAGTGGTGGGGATTTATTTGCTTAATAACCCCAAAGCAAAATGGGGGAGGCCAGCTAGTGTTTCCATTCACGAACTAGCCGGATTGACCCACGTTCTCCATTCCCTCTAAAATACACCGACAGGTGCTCATAACAGACAGTGTTCTCTAAGCTAGGGGTCTACTCTCTAGTATGTCTGTGCCTTCCTGCTCCCACCAGTTACCAAGTTAATTCTCAGGTCTGTTTTTACCAGTTGAGCTCACTAGGAAATGTAATTAAATATTACGTAAAGTGGTGAAATGTAAGTGTGGAAAAAAATGGGACATGTTTCTATGAAAACTAAAGCGAATGCTTTGTGAGGACCCCAATAAACGTGAGTCATTAAATGCAAAACAAAAGAAGAAAACAACAAACTGCTGAACTGGTGTGGTGCTGTGGGCAAGGCAACCGCTGGAAAAGGGAAAAAAACGAAACAAAACAAAAAACATTAAAAGTCCAGAAGGGTTTTGCACTCAGATTTGTTTTGTAAATAAATATAACTTCTCATTCTGCACTAAAGAAACAGAAACTGGAAATTAAGATGGCGTGGTTAATGTCACAAAGGCTCAGGGGACAATAATCTGCCAATACAGACTTATACTAAAAAATAATCAGTGTGTGAATGTAAGCTATAGGTTTTAAGTCAAAAAAGATGTTTAAGATATGAACTTGTAAATGACTTTCAAGTAACTCAGCTTCTACTGACCAATCGCTGATACAAGGGCTTCTGTAGCAGCAGCAGAATGAGGGAGCATGTAACACAGAAGCCCTCCTATTGAGAGATCACTAGTTAGTTAATAGAAAAAGTCAAAGTGAGAAATCAAAACCAGTATGTATATACCATAAACGTTCTATTCTGATTTAAAATATTTAATATTAAAAATTAAATTATATTGTAAATATAATTTAATATTTAATAAAATATTAAAATGTTTATTTAATAAAATCAGTAATTTTAAGTTGTTTAGAAGTATGACTTTTTCTGGGTATAATTCCTCTACCTTTTTGTTATTACAACAACATTGACTGCTGGTTCTGTTATGTATAATAAAATATATATATAATGCAAAATTACAGAGAGAGCATTGCTAGCCACTGCCAGATTGATTGATGATTTTCAATGGAATCCCACCTCTTCTTTGTCCTCTTCATATTGAGATTTATATGTTAATGTCATGGTATATGTGATTTCTCCATGATTTTCAATTTTACTTTCCAACAAATTATCATTATGAATCCATTGTTGTGTAAACTTCTTCCTGTCAGAATCTTCAATTTGTCTGAGCTCAGGTAAAAACCCATGTTTTTACCATCATCTTGCATATCAATTTTCATATGAAGAATTTCATTCCATGCCCATTGCCTCATGACAAACAATATCTTTGATATATTCTATAGGATCTATATTCTTATTTTCTATTTTTTTTTCCAAAAATGGCACTGAAACCCTTTTGCCTAAGAGATACATGTAAACATTTCAGAATCCTTTGATTCACAGACTGGATCAAGACTATTATTCTTGGAGGGAGCAGAGTGGGAGAGAGGATAAAAACAAGGCCTTTAAATTCCTGACGATTAGGATGTAAAGAAGTTACCAAGCCAGCCCTGATGGCCTAGTGGTTCAAGTTTAGCATGCTCCACTTTGGCGGCCCAGGTTTGGTTCCAAGTCACGGAAACACACCACTCATCTGTCAGAAGCCATGCTATGGTGGCAGCTCACATAGAAGAACTAGAAGGACTTACAACTAGAATATACAACTATGTACTGGGGCATTGGAGAGGAGAGAAAAAAAAAAGAGGAAGATTGTCAACAGATGTTAGCTCAGGGTGACTATCTTTCCCAGCAAAAAAAAGAAAAAAAAAGTTGCCCAGAAAGAGTATGAGATTCTCAAACAATTTTATTCTTCATGTTTCTTTCTCGAAGGTGCAGTGATGCAAACCACCTTTGTCAAGTGCAAGTCCATTCCATCCATGCTGACTTTTATGAGAGTAGTAAACTGGTACAGACTAAACTTCTTTAACAGATTCTTCTGATTTGCAAATAAGTGGCAGCAGAGCTGTCTTCATGGGCACGTGACTTGTGCAGTCACACAAGGCCCTGCACTCCGAAAGCCCTGCTTGGTTTAATGTTCTGCTGTCATCAACTTGAAATTCTTATTAATTTTTGCACAAGAGGCCTCATATTTTCATTTTTCACTGGGCTCTGGAAATGGTCCCAAGCTGGTCCTGAGTGGCACGCAGCTTGTAGGAGTATTGCTCTGGGATTTTTTTCCCCACTGATGCTCTAATTTAGCATCATTCTTTTTGGAGGTAATGTCTTATATGTTGGACATGTTTTGATATTGCAGAAGTGTTTGCCAATCTAATTTCCTCTACTGATAAAGAACTAAGTGTTGAGTGAGACACCGAGTTGCAAAGGCTATCCACTGGTGCTCCTAAAATACGGATCCTATACTATGTTTCCCTGGTGGTCAAGCCGCCTGACACCTGCTGTAAATTGTTCAACACCAGCTTTCTGATGTCGAGTGAGGCTTGTCCCTTCGAGAAAAAGTCTACTGACTGTATCAATTATTCCTTCAATGCTTTGCCTACAATCTCTAGTTTTGGTTACTTTAAAGTGGAAGGAGAACGAAGTCACTTGCCAAGCAGTCTAAGTGCAGAATCTTTCTAGAGTTTTATTCCCTCCATCTTTCATTGTTGTCTCACCCACCCCAACTTCAATAGCAAAAAACTTCTAGCAACTCATTCTTTGAATAGTCCGGAAGCATTGAACAGTTTTCATAGAAACAGTTCTCATGCTTATCAACCTCACTTTTTACCAGCTGATGTAACAGTTAAAGTTTTAAATTACAACTCACATTCACAGGACTGGGAACACCCACAGATTTTAGTAAGCGTGGCCATTCACCAGGTGGGAGCAGAAGGGCCTGGGTATTCTTGAGTGACCCATTAATTGTGAGTCATCAGGGTGCTGTGGGCTTCAGTAAGCTTACTTTACAGAGGGAAAGGGGAGTGTGGGCTAATCTATGGTTGGTGGAGATAGATTAAGAGAGCACCCATTACAGTCATAATAGTAACAGAAACAACACCCCAAATCCAGAATTTACTGAGTGCTCCCTCCATGCCAGGCTGGCTGCATTGCAAACACCAGCACACAGTTACTTTGCATGTGAGCATTCCAGGTTTGCTTTTTTCCCCTCTATTGACTGACATTGCTTCAAAGATGAAGACTGTCTAACAGCCTTCTTTTTCCATGGCTTGTCAATGCAGACTCACCCGCAAGTAATCTAATAACATCAATGTCATCCTGGTGTTTCGGTCTCTGAAGAACTGAAGGTACATAACTGGTGACTAAAGGGATGGTGGTTTCTGTGGCTGCCCGAGGACAGGAGGGTAAGAAATGGGCGGGACAGAGGACAGTGCAGAGGTCTGAAAGCTCTGGTCTTGTCCTGGGTTGGCCCCCACTAACTGTGGAATTTGGGACAAACCACCTAACAACTCTCCAGATGCTCATGAAATGAGCATCAATTTTCCAGCCCTGCTAGCCTGGCAGGGTG